TAAAAATCCTTTAATAACAAAAAAAAAATAAACTTTACGATAGGTTTAATACAGCTATAGCGATAGTCCTATAATAGCTATCGCTTCTCGAGAATTAACAAAAATTAGGAAAAGAAATAATATTTTTCCCATCTAAAATAGAATGGTATAATATGTTATACAATATAGATGGCCAATTGGTACAAAATATGTACAATATTAGGTATATAAACACAATATAATATTATTGTGGATTGTTACTTAATTGTTCGGTACGTTACCGTAAATAATAAATTGGTAAATAGTGTGTATGTAATGTACTAGGTACACTTATATTATTGTGGATATAAGAATATAAAATAATGAAAAAAGTTCTGCAAACTGTACAAAATAACGGTATTGTTTGTTTAATATTCTTAGGGGGTCTTTAACTTCAAATCATTTATTTTGGAGGGACTAAGCCCCCGTAAGCCCCCCCCTGATCTCCGCCTATGGTCATATTTGTCATTGCGTGGTAAAATAAGCCATTAGCGTCTAGGCCCTAGCGGACAAGGAAAAGACGTAAGTGGGTAGGATATTATAGTAACTGTGTGGTTTGTTTTCGCATACCTACGGTAAAAGTTATAAATGTATAAGTCTCGGGCAAAAAAAAAATATAAAACAACTTGTACCTAGTATAGATACCCGTTTAATGAAATGCAGAGAAAAGTACAAAGGTCAACGAGTGTTGTTCATTTTGTTTTCTTTTCACAAACTTGTCATTGCGAATTGAGTGTAGAAAACACAGCAAAGAATTAGAAACAGTTACTATACTCAGTAGACAGTACCTACTCAGTTACAGTACACTAGTATACAAAAGCAGTTATAGCCTATAGGCTATAGGCAGTGGGGTGCTCAGTAGGGGGAAGTTAGGGGTTTTGTCCCCATTGACCTATCAACCCCTTGTATGTGTTTTTGTTAGAACTTAGAAATATGTATATGTATTAGTGTATTACCAGGGTTCTGAGTTAGGATTTTATCGTACTTCCATATTTCTTATAAAATTATTAAAGATACCTAGAAGAGTAAGCTAAAATGTGTTTCATAGTTAAGAGAACTGAAATTAAATATTTTATTTTTGATATTTGAGTTTTTTAGATTTTAGTGCTATTTCTGGACTCTTTGAGTTCTTTTAAGCAAAAATTTGATCTTGTTTTATGAAATAACATTTTAATGAACGTGTTTTGGATTACCTTGTCTAGTTTTAAAAGTAAATACCCATAGATTAAGTAAAATAGAGTATAGACTATTATAGACCGACTATAGTACCATACAGACTCAATGATGTCTGATACATCATTTCATGTTATATTTGGTTTGATTTTAAACTTTTATTATTCGCTAATTTCGATGGGCTCCTTTTTTGTCATTCTCGGCTATGATCATCATCAAACCAGTACTGAAAACATTATGTTTAGGTATATTGACATATCGTAAATACTTTGCAAATGCGGTCGACTACTCGATTAGTGTACTCGTACCTGGTACCTACCTAGTAATTAGTATACCTTTGTGTTTTCGGTTGAATGTGTTTTGGTTATTCTTTGTCTCGCTATAACTGGTGCTTAGAACTTTGTTTTAAAATTCCAATTTTGAAATATTTTGTTGTTTTTAACCTTTAATGTAAATATTTAGTGATATTAAATGTAATATTGTAGTACATATTTTTGCAATTTTAAGTGCTACAAAATCCCAACTATCACGGATATTACTTAAAACATCCACCACACACATAACAACATTTTACCAAATATTAATTTAGAGCGGGCACTTCATCAAACGCTATGGGATATGGTCAGGGCCGTATTTAGGGGGGAGCAATGAGGAAATTTGCCCCGGCGGTCAAATATTGATCTATTTAGGGGGAGGCCGGGCCCCTCGTGGTAACTAGGTGCAGTATTGTTTCAATAAATATTTTATTTTTGGAAAGAATTTGTATTATGAGTTATGACTCGACCCTTGTGAGCTTAACAGTGCAACGATAACGGATAAGTGCTAGCGCCTAGCATAGAACATAATTAATATTATTTTAACATAACTACGGTTGTAGATAGACAACCATGACTTTACCATTAAGAATTATAACTAAAAATGTGTTAAGAAAAATCAAAAAAGTGGATCTATTTTTTGGTTGGGGAGGCGTAAAATTATGGTTGACCAGGGGCTCTAAAATTGCAAATACGGCCCTGGATATGGTCACATGGGTATGGCATTATGGCTGTATTATTAAAATTGCACCCCGAGGGATTATACATATTTAGCTGAGGTTCTAATATTTGAAACGTATATCAAATTCCAAATTCTTTGCGCTCAACTAGCTTGGTGCTAATTTTGTTGCCATCCACTTCTTACATTAATGTAAATTTTTTGACCGTCGTTTTATGCGCGTTGTATCATTAAATAGAAAAAAACAAATTCAACAAGAAGCTAAATAAACAGTTACGTTTCGTATAGTTTTTATGCAAGCAATTGCATATATTAAATTACGCTAATTATTATTGTTGGAGTTTTTTTTCTTTGGCGTTATTTATCTAAATTGTACAATTGTTAATTATAGTTCAATAATTATAAATTGTATTTTAATAAGATTTTTATAATTTAAATTATGTATGGATAGTATATCACTATATTCTATTATTTAGTACTATGGTCTATACTATACTCAAGTCTCAACGCCAATATTGATAAATGATAACACCTGCAGTATAGTCATTAATATATAGGCAATGTGCAGTAGTTATAACTTTTTTTTTTTATTAGCCTTCAGTCATCGACTATTATGGAAGTTATAACTTATTAACTGCTTTGTTTCATTGAAAAGAGAATATCATATCAAAAAAATATCAGCTTAGCCGTACTCAAAAACGTTTCAACGATATAAAAAAAACATTGTCGTCCTTGCTGGATAATAAAATCTATATAGAACTTACTATAGAAGCAGGTATTTATTATAATTTATTATAAATTATGATCAACTATTAATCATAATATAAGCAAACAACCAGACACAATATGTCTACATAAAAAACACATATAGTTTGCTGACATGAAAAGTTAATACTTAAAAAAGTTCGATATAGGGGGACAATTTCAATGAGAAAACTGGAGGATGATAAAGACCCCTATTTTATCATCCGGTCTTTATCATGGGTTATAGAACGAGAAATTTCATCTTCCCCTAACACCCACCGTTCAGTAATTATAGGTTAGGTTAGGCTATAAATGCTATAATAATAAAAAAAAGATTAGGTTAGGGTAACTTTGTATTGTATACATACTATTAATTGTATTATTACAAAATAAGAACTAATTAAAAAAAAAAAAATTAACCATACATGCTATAAATGATGAGGCCACGAGGTTACTGATTTAAATGTTCGGGGGTGCTAAGCATCCAAATTGTGTATGTGTATTGTGTATATAGCTGAAACGATAGTTTTCATCGTCTTGAGCCGTCGAGACAAAATTGAAAATGTACACATTTTTGTGTGGTTAAACCTTTAAGCAATACAATTTTAGAGTGATCGATGACGATGACGGTAGTGTAGAACCGCTCTGAGAAAACAGCAGTCCTCGGAAACAGTGCTGCAAGCCACGGCGGACTTCACCATAGTCTACTTTACTCTATAATTCAATATTTTGGAAAATATAGTAAACAAATTCCTAGAAAAATAGGATACTTGACTACTTGAGAGAGTATTAATGTAATATCATATTACATTATTATGTATCGGCATACCCAACTACGAAGTATACTGACTTATCAAGCTAGAAATGGGTGGGGGAGAGGCCTAAGAACTTAAGATATCTAATTAGGTACGATGAAAACATATTCTTGCAGGCTCCTAACCTTCGAAAAACTATTATTAATTATAATTAATTTTAATTTCATAATAAATAATAATTAAAAAATTCTTTGATTTTTTTTGTGAATAGCATAGCCGTAATTCTTTTTAAAAATATGACGATTTGGAAATTCATGAAATAATTGAATTAAATATCTGAGAAATTTATGATTTATGTTTTAGTATAGCCAATTTCTAAATTAGACCCTATAAATATCTTAACCTAGGAGTTCAAATACTAACTCCGAATCCCGATTTATAATATTCGAAATTATCGTATTATTATTCTAGTATAGCGATGGGATTCCCAACGTGTATTAATTTAATTTTATAGTAAGGTGTAGTGACTGAAGGGTAGTCGTAATTATCAAACTGCTCATGGAAAAGTAGGAATCTATTTTCCAGTTTAAATTTATGAATATTCGATCGACTATCATACTTTAGACTCTGAGTGTAGAGATGAATGTCTTGTATTTGCATTGATTCTGTTTTCTGTACTTGATTTTTTTCTTCTGTCTGTTGACTGTTGTAAACATTTGGGGTAGAAAAATGATTCAACATCAATATATTTTCTGATAGAAAAATGAATCTAGATGGTGCGTTTGGGAAGTCAAAATAGTTTTCAAATGCGTCGGAAAAAACTTATAAACTAATAGCCGT